AGTGGCATAATTTGAATTTCACTCTGCTTTTTCCCTTCTTGTCCTACTTTAACAATTTTTTTATGAACCTCATATTGGATTTTCATACAATTGAATGGAGCTTATCGGGTAAATTGCTAACAATATAAATGCTTATCTTATTTTGACCAGTTCTGTAAAATTAATCGGTACGTCGACGAATTATCGGAAAAACTATAAATTAAATTTAAGTACAATACTAAATTATGATCAATGAATACGATATTGAGTTAATACAAACAAATAATTTATTTTTGACAGATTAATTTCCGTACCTGCGCAAAACTTATTTTATTCGTTTTAGTAGCCTATTTAAATACTATAAAAGCTTGTTTTTAAAAAGACTTTGATTTACGTTATTTCTCAGAGTCAGTCGAGAATCGAGGTGGAATAACTGAGTATAATTTGGATAGAAGAAGAATATACTATTATTTATACAATGAATGGCAAAAATATCTGAAAACACTCGGTAAATGTCTATAATCACATGGCTGAGCTAGACTCGTATTTGTAAGGTAAATCATCGACCTCCAAGAATAAAGAAATACACATTCCGACTGTAACCGCACGAGGCATAAAAAGTTCTCTTTACAAATTTTGTCACGCGTTCCAAACAGAAACTCAATTCGAAATGTCCACATCCGCAAATGTTAATTACCGGACATTTCTTGTTTAAGGAAAACCTTACTAGATACACTTCAATGTGTTTCCTAGTCAAAAGGAAAAGGACCTTCATACCGTATAACCTTCAGACATCGCATAAAGATGTATACGTTTTTTGAATACATTTATTACTCCAGTTAGATAAATCAATATACAAATTTGCATTTAGCAATTCGGAAAAAAGCTATCTGCATAATTCTTCATTCTAACAATCATATTAGGTTTTCTATAATTATTACCATTATTTAAAATTAAATCCCAAGTACCTATTATTCTTGTCAAACTCTATAAGATCGGAAAGTTGTCAATTCATTTCCAAAAGTATCTCTTGCTATACGGAGTTACTTTCTACTTATTGAGAGCAGTTCTGCTGTCATTTACGTACACTGTCCTGAGATAAAATATTCACGTCGGCGAAATTGAACTTTTCTTTTCCTCTCTTCCATTGGTTGTATTGTTTTTTTAATATCTCTGTATGTGAACTCAAAGGAACTGACTAAATCAAGAAGACTCCTCCTATATTTTTCCTTCAAAATTCCTGTTCAAAATTGTTACTCGTACATTTTTTCTCCGGCTCACCTCTCGTCAACATACAGTAGTAGTCTGTTGTAATGTTTGTCTGCCAATTTTCCTAGTATCTGCTCTTTATAACCATGGTGAGAGTGTAGAAAACATAACTTTATGCATTATTGCATCCTAGTTCACAAAAATTGCTGAGCATATTATTCACTATATTTCCATAATCTGTTAGGGTCTTGCATTAAGTTCCTATGACAGGGCCAACAATAAAGCCCTCTTTGATCTTTGGATCGGAGGGTCTATTTGGGCTGTTTATGGACCAAATCATTTTTGGGTAAAGAACGAATAGTTTTTTACTTTACACTAGATGAACTAATTTCTAACTATAACTTATAGAATTTACGTGATGATTTTTTTGATTATCTAAGTACCTAATACGCACCCAAATTACTAATCAGTTTTTTTTTAAGGAGAAAATCATCGCAAATCTGTGAATCCCGATACGTAGATCAACAGCATCTCGTTCAAAGACCTTTAATTCACACAAAAAATAATACTATGGAGGACGTCATACATAAGCTCAAAAATATTATTCTAAAGCCCTGATAAAGCATATCTGTGGCGTCAGCCATGCGATGTATAGTTTTGTTGTCTAGTTAAAAATGATAAAGAGAATACAAGACATCCATATTTCACCATCAATTAAGTGTCCATCGCAAGTGATGCAATATGAGTCACTTGCGCCGAAATTATAAAAAACACTAATATTTGGATGTAAATGAGATTTATTTCCCACTATCCACTTCGAAACAAAAAGACCATGTTAAGAACTTGAAATGTTTGTGGTGCATCTCCGATTTGTTCTAAATATTATATCATGATTACCATCCGAAGTTCTGTAAAGAAGTGAAAGAAGTTATTAACAATTCCAAATAGTTTTCATTACTTGCATAATACAACATGAAGTTTATCTAAACGTAAACAATATAAATTTATTCAAAAAGTCGACGAACTCAGGAAATATTGAAACTTAGATACGTCTCGTTAAGACATCTAAAAATAAGATCAATTGACTTATGTAATTTGCACAGGCATTCCTCATTGACTAATTTCTCATAAATTTAAGCGTATTGGACGAACTGTTACTGAGGCCTGAGTTAGGAGCTGAAGACCCAGCACAGCATTTTTTTGGACAAAATCCTGAAGACCCTCAACTGTAAGGTTTAATGTCGCTTCAACGATTCTTTAAGTTGGTTCCTCATTGCGCCTTTGGACTCTCAAGAGAGGCCTTAGGTCTAACCGGTCCAAACTGAATGTGTCCAACATGGTTTTTTGTGAGAACTAGAAATAAAGGATAACATTATAATAAAGAACCAAATCTTTCATCAACTGGTGTATTACCGCACTAAATAGTCATCGTACATTGTGTGTTGATTGTAACTATGTTGCGTAATATTAATTATCGCTGATATTTGTATCTACACATTCATCGGAAGTGGAATTCACACAATTACTACGAGCGGTTTCTTGTAGTAGTTCCATGAAGCATGAAGTAACCGAGTATCTGTATACACATATAATCACTTCTTATATCTTTACATAATGCGCAACCTTTCTGTTCCATGGTTTTCTATGTCACTGGGAGCACATATTTGTATACATGGCAATGCTGATATCTTACTTTATTTTACTTTCAGTTACGGAATCTTGTATGCTACCTCATACTTTATACAGGGGCTTCAGTAACCTATTATTCGATACATCATAAGCAAGGGAGAAATTTTAGTAGCAACTGGATAGCCTTGCTGCTTACATACGTATACGCGTTTGGATAACGCTCACATTTAACACATAAGAAGTACCTTGATGGATGAGTAAAATCCATTTTTTTTTCAGTTTATTGCAACTTTTGTAATCCATGCGTGATTATATTAACTCAACATCACCTACTGGGTGTTCATAGTTTATCCTACCTTTGGAAACTTGCACTTCCAAATTCTTACATGAAAAAGCCTTTTCCCACAAATTTTTGTTAGGTGTTGCGTTTCAACACATTCATACACTTCTTTCCAATTCCTCAACGACATTTTGACACCACTGGTCCGACACTGTTCAAGATTTTATTCATACATTCAATTGCAGTTGCAGTTTTTTCTTATATCTTTACATAATGCGCAACCTTTCTGTTCCATGGTTTTCTATGTCACTGGGAGCACATATTTGTATACATGGCAATGCTGATATCTTACTTTATTTTACTTTCAGTTACGAAATCTTGTATGCTACCTCATACTTTATACAGGGGCTCAATAACCTATTATTCGATACGTCATAAGCAAGGGAGAAATTTTAGTAGCAACTGGATAGCCTTGCTGCTTACATACGTATACGCGTTTGGGTAACGCTCACACTTAACACATGAGAAGTCAGTGTATAATAAGTACCTACGTTTACGTGTGTGGTTTTGCTAAAGCTCTCTATTCCATTTTCTAGAAGCACATTGAAAAAGCTGTAGTCTGTTTTTAATCTAAAGTTGAATCGCGGCTAATTTCTTGAGCAGTACACATTCGAAATGATAGCTGCCCAAAAATACACATTGATGCTAGTGATATCTCCTCAGTAGACTTAAACGAGTCTTATTCCTGGCTGGTGTATTTTTAGATGGCCTAAATGGGCTTAATAAATAATGTGGGGGAGCGATAAACAAACGCTTTATTTTAACGGCGCTGATGTACCTATTCGCAATAATTGCGGAAGGAGACTTTCTAGACTCTAATAGCATTCCTGTAATATATCACCCAGTAAAGTGATATGACTTTGGTCTTTTTATGCAAATGCACATACTTTAAAGGGTCACACACGATAGAGGGAATTTTGGAGGTCAATTATTCATTCTAAAAGTTTTCTATTTTTCCACTTTTGATCTCTAGTCAGAAGTTTTCTTAGGTCTAAAGTTATATCCATCACCAAGCTCCGCGACCCCATAATGGTTAAACCGGATAGGTTGTTAAGAGGTAGTTTAACATATTTCTTTATTGTCAGGGATAAAAAAATGGACGTTTTGGAGAATATAACCAGTCAGTATTTTTTCAATCAGTTCTTATAGATTCCAAAGTAAATTTTGACTTAAACACTTGCCTTCGAGAACACAAGAGACGAAATGACTTCAGGTGAAAGGCTACTATTAGTAAACATGTAAATTAGAGCAAATTTATATTCATCAGATTCTAACATGTTGTAAACTGAAGCGCATGGTGAGAGAATAAATAGGCAAAATTGGAGTCAAGTAGAGCGTCTCGATGCTTCCTTTGCTTTGATATCATATGGATTTATATAATAAGATACGACATTCCTGTTACATATACCTAGCATGAAAATTCTCAGTCGAGACTTCAAGTGACTAAATGATACAGTTGCATAATGTACAGACAAGCAAGATTTTTTCTACCGACTAACACTTATTCAAAAAATACTTGATACGTATATGTAATTTTAGGTACGTAATTCTTTTATATATATAAATTTTTAATTTTTATTGGTGTTCAAATCCCATTTATGCTCAGTCCAAACAAATATGAACACCCAACTGCAGCTTCTTTTCGCTTGTCGCTACCACTCTCAAGCATGTATGGCCCGCTGGCCAATAGGAGCGAGCGTATTTGTTTTGGCGGACGTAAATGGGATATGAATATATAATAGTGAAATGTTGCCACCATTATCTGAACAATCACTAAGAGAATGTCCTACATAGGTACATATAATTATATAAAAGATCTTCCTACAAAGTATAAACTACTTACTGGGCAATGCAGTCCTTCAAATATCTCCACAAATATCCATAGAACAGATCCTCAGCGTCACAGTAAATGACTGTTGTATCACAACCTTTACTTAAATTAGTCCTTTTAACCATTTTGTCTAATATTAGCTAACTATCACTACGACTATCACTACCGCAACAACTACAAAACACTCACGTGTCAAACATTAAAACAAAAGGGAACTGCGTATAAACCATCTCCGTTTCCAGTCTTTCAACGGCTTATCCCACAGATTGCAACGCTTATCAATACAAAACTGAACGTGCTAGTATCTCAAAACACAATGAAGCTTCTTTATCTGCCGCCAACTGTATTTAAATCGAGGTAATGTACATAACCACGAGGTGCTAATTTCACATTCAGCTGTAAATCGCTGAATTTATGGATCAGGAACGAAGTCTACGTTTGACTTAATCATAAATTAATCACCGTTATCAATTCGGTTTTGAAATTGTGCCTTTAGGTGTAGCATTTAGGTTGGCGGCGATTCGATCAACGGGACCATAAAGGCATATAGTTCAAATCACGAAAGATGACTATTACGTCATACCGTAAATTGTACTGAAGTAACCAATGGACGTACATCGATGATAAAATCACGATGTCAGGAACATAATGACAACAAATTTATATTATGATTTTGCGAAATAAGGTTATTTCACCGATTATTTTTATTTTCATTTTATTTCATGGTTTTGAGTGCTACATTAATAATAGTTTTAGTGGGGAGTTTTTGTTTTGAAAAAAAAACAGTTATGAGTAGAATACCTTAAGACATGAACACCAAAGACCAAAGTATTATTCGAAAACAACATAACCTGCTTTAACATAACCTAACTATTCATCTTTCAAATATGATCGATCATGCAACATGAAAACATCGTCTATCTTTGTCGGATACATGCAAATTAGCAATACATTTTGTTTAGACAATAAAATTCTGTTTGTCTCTGTCTAACATATCAATCAATATATTCACAAATCGCTGTCGTTTGTCTTTACTACAGACTAAAATGATGACGTAATCGTCATCTTTCGTGATTTCGACTATAGCTGATCCAACACCGAGAAAATCTCTTGTCAAATAGTCCAGGTTAGTGGTGGTAGATATCTCATGAACTGTGATTTAGGAACCATTATTCCTACGTCACGAATGTCACCAGATGCCGTGAAAAGAGTGACGTGATCACGACACGAGATCTAGGTGTATCCCGGAAACGGCGAATGATATATGACGGCGTTAACGTTTGACTAAGCGCTAGCCGCTAATGTCAATAATCGAATACCACCGTAAGATCTAAAGCAGGGCGCATTAAGGAAATGGTCACCTCATCATTTGCAGGACCAGAACCTGCCTTGGTGGTGCCAAAAAGCATAATAAAGAACCAAAGCAAAGAATTGATAAAAAAACAGCACATGGAATATTGGCACTTAGGGTGCAGGCACGGGAAAGAATTTATTTCGGGACCATGTCCAAATACGGCTGCGGAATTGCTCTCAATCAGGAGAAACCAACTCCGTGTAGTTACAGGCCTTCTAAAAGGACATAATGGCCTGGAAGAACATCTGCCCAAAATAGGGCTGTATGCTGGAGAGATCAACGGCAGAAAATGAGGAAAAGGAATAGAAGAATCCTTACATGTCTTATGTGAGTGCAAGGTGCTGTATCACAAAAGAGATCAACTCTTCGGGAAACCAAAACTAGAGCCGCGGAAGTTTTTAATAGTACGGGCAGGGAAACTTGATAAAAGGGCACAGAATGATAGGCTACTGTATTGCATACTGTAAATTACAGGAGCAAGGTATAACAAGCCCAAGACGCTGAAGTGCCATCGGGGACTTTGGTCGCAAAAATACTATGGCCAGCAAGTGATGTCGTGCCTTATAGTCTTTCGTAGTTGGTACCATGCGATTTCATCCCAGTATTTCACTCAGCATATCAGTATAAACAGAATCTCATCATTATTCGAAATTCACGATCACTAACATCAAAAAGTAACGATATCGAAGTAACGATATTGAAGTAACGATATGAGATATCACAGATATTCGAAAATAACAACATTGACCATCTCTAGTCCAGGACCCCTTTGGCCATGTAACAATCCATCATGTGTTGCAGATTACAAAAGGTGAAGGTATTCAGGGGATTTTGACAAACAAAATTACCATTTGTCTGCTGATACGCGCGATTTCAAAATCAACCGAATATGAAGCTTACAGAGATAAACTGGAAGGTGTAAAATATTCATAGGTCGTTTTAGTTTTACCGATTGGAACTAAAAAATTCAGACTAGGTAGAAGGAGCTAGTCAAGGATATTTTTGTCTCCTTATTCCCTTATAGCACTTTTGACATAAGTCAATTTTTGGACAGTTCTGACATTAACTTCGTTGTTTTAGTGATAAGATAATGCTGGTGTTAGACATGCTACTGCTTACTTAGTTTGCAAAGAGCTGCACAAGCTTAATGAAGGTAGATGCCTCTACCGGTAAGTATTATTATTATGTTGACACAACGCTGCAACTCTGATAGGCAATGGTAGACAAATGAGCCAGAAGTGTGCACTAAAACTAGTCAATTTTGGCGAAAAACAATGCAATGTAACGTATAGGCTTAGCTCGTTGTAACCTATTCGAATTCGTTGATTGGACCCATGAAAAAGGATAGTACTTCCATAGTAAGTGCACTTCAAACATAAGCTGTGTGTCTTGTTATATTTCTAGTCTCTTGATGAATAAGTACTCACATATTTCTGTTTAATTCTGGGAGTTTCATTATTTAGCGAATTCTTCCATTTGCAGACTTTCAAATTACTTGTTAATATTCAGGAAAAATATATTTTTATGTGGAATTACCTTGAGCGCAATGGCACAGAAACCAGTGGCGTGCGTAGTTAAACTCTGAAATACACTGTTAAAATTTTACAGCACTGGCCCAGTAATCTAAAAGACAATGGAAAATGTGAATCAAAATGAATGACCTTGAACACCGTGTATCTTAATAACGGTGCCGTAAAATACCTAAGTTTTGAATAAACTGTTTTGTTCAATTTCATGAGGTCCTTTCAATATACAGTATCTGAAACGCATTCCACTAAAAGTCCATTCAACGGACCTGGGTACCGAGGCTTCCGTGTTTTTACTATACTAAGTGACATATAAATCCGAACAGCCAGTTTAAATGGTTTTATTTTAACAAAAGTTGGTGAATGTATTTATCTTACTGTAAATAACAAGTGAAAAAATTTTCAGCCTTATCAGTTGGACATTCCGGTTTTTATACTGCTTTTTTTTAATTCACTAACGCTCTAAAAATGAATATTTCAGCCGCAGTAAAGAATCAACGTTGGCGGATTTTGGTTCTTGACATCCTTTACGATCGGTTACGATGCCTAGAGTACGGAAACCTGTACGATTTCGTCAACTTAGTGAGCTTGATAGGGGCCGTATAGTGGGACTTCGGGAAGCTGGACTTTCTTTTCGGGCAATTGCAGTTAGAGTGCAAAGAAGTGTAGACACTGTGGTTAGGTGTTGTCAGGCATGGCTTCGAGAAGGCCGTACGCAAAGAGCAAGGGGCACTGGACGCCGCCGTAGAACAACAGACCGTGAAGATCGCCGCCTAAGATTATTGGCCTTCAGGGACCGTTTCTCCACTACCAGGTCCATTGCAAATGAATGGTTTGCAGAACACGGAAGACCTATTGGCATGCGAAGTGTTTACCGACGAATGAGAAGTTTTGGCTTGTTTTCATACCGGCCACACTGGGTCCTCCCTTTAACTCAAGAACACCGACGTAATCGCCTTGAGTGGTGCAGACATCGGTCACTCTGGGATCAGGAATGGAACATTGTCTTTATTGACGAGTCTCGATTTTGTTTAGGCATGCACGATGGTCGTGCCAGGGTTAGAAGGCGACGTAGTGAAAGGAGGAATCCGCAGTTTTTTGTTGAAAGACATGTTCATCACACTGTTGGAGTTATGGTTTGGGGTGCTATAGCTTATGGTTCCAGGTCACCTTTAATCTTCATCAGAGGTAACATGAACGCGCAGCGTTATATCCACGGAGTTCTAGAACCCCATCTTTTACCCTATCTTGACACCCTGGCAGATCCAACTTTCCAACAAGATAATGCCCGACCACATGTTGCAAGAGTCACAATAGACTTCTTTCAATATAATGATGTCACATTGTTACCATGGCCACCAAGATGTCCCGACTTATCCCCAATTGAGCACGTGTGGGATATGATGGGAGGAGTTGGTGGTTGCCTGGAATGAGATACCACAGGAGGACATTGACCACCTGATCAGAAGCATGCCTAGGCGCGTTGGAGAATGCGTAGCACATCAGGGTGCATCCACACATTATTAAAGGTCAAAGGGCTTTAAGGTAGTGCAATCGTTTTGAAATTTTTATCATTTACTTATTATGCTTCATTAAGTACTTATACAAAATTTTATTAAAATAAAACCATTTAAACTGGGTACACTTAGTATATATTCTGGAATTATGGAAGTATCTTTCTTCTAAGAAAAGTTATTCCATTTATAATAACACCCTTGTATCTGTTGTATCTGTCATTGAATTAATGCAATTTCAACAACCACGAGGTGCCAGTCACACTCTATTGTTATAATAGCTGGATTTATGGATCACAAGCCGTAAATTAATCACTTTTATCAATATGGTTTTGTAACTGCGCAGGATTTTATGTTTCGAATGATTTGATGTGACATTATAAAAGAGTTACGAAACTTCCACATGTATCGTGTTTTACTCAATAGGAAAATCAGTTGCTCAATGAGTATTGTAAATAGATACTAGGGTTTTTGGACCCGGGTACCCGGGTCGGGTATACGAGTACCCGGGTAATACGTAACGAAAAACCCCAGGGATCAATAAAAATTAAGAAATTTTATTTTTGACCGTAATAAACTACTACTACTACTACTACAACTAAAGTTCATAAGGAAAAAACCTAGAGAAATTTTGTCCGGTGCGAAAAAAACAATATTTAAAATTTGTTTATAAAAATGCAAATTCGTTAAATCCTTTTTGAATAAGATAATTCGAAGATAACTTTCTGGACTATTCGTGTTGCAAAGCTTTGAAATAAGAGTGTGGTCATTTGTCACTCCCATATTTCATTATTTGTTTACATTTTTATTCAGCTATCAACTTTGCAAGACTCACACACGTGGCAGGAGAACTTGGATAGTCACAATCACCGACCAGTCGACCACATTTTGCCGGTTTCTTCTTTATAATTACGCACAGAAAACGAACAACGGGTGAATACGGACACAGTTGAAAATACCTGGGTACTCGGGTATTAAAAAACCCGATACCCGGGTATCTAAACACTCGAAGCACGCGAAAACCCTACCAGACCCCAAACAAA